CCTTGATCTCGCTCAGCTTGAGCGGCAGGTACTCCCCGACGAGGTCCGGCCGCGCGGGCTTGCACGGCTCGTTGCCCATCGTTTACGATCACGGTTCGACCATCGTCGCGGCTGAAACCGCAGGGCAGCGTCGGCGGCACCTTTGGCTCGTGAGATCCTCGGGGCAGCATCATCGCGTGTGTGGTGTGGGCGCCAAAAACTCTTTGTCACACAAAGAACAATCTTCTTTGACGCTGCGCGCCGAGATACGAGTGATGCCGCTCGGCCCGGGCCACGACCGACCGTCGACGCCGGAGGCGCCGGCGGCGCATCGCGCGCCGCCGCCGCATCCGCGCGTCTCGCCCATGCCGCAGCGGCCGGGGCTGCCCGCGGCCCCGGCCGGCGGCGCCCGCGCCGCGGCGCCCATGGACGCCGCCGACGCCGCCGGCGCCGGCGGGCGGGGCCGCGCGTCCGCGGGCGACGCCGCGCGGCCCGTGTCGCCCGAGCTCGCCTGGAGCGCGCCCGGCGACGACGGCGACTGCCAGTCGATCCCGCGCTGGGCGTTCCTCCGCGTCGGCGCCGCGCTGCGGTCCGAGACCGTGGACATGGACCCGGCCGTGTCCTACCTCGACATGTCCGTCGACGACGACCGGGGCCGCGCCTTCTTCAGCGCCGCGGCCGTCGAGGACCACGACGCGCTCCGCGAGTCGGACGTCTACGCGTCGAACGCGCAGCTCGTCATCCCCAAGGCCATGACGCGGTCCGCGTCGTCGCTGACCGAGGCGTCCCTGGTCTACTCCGAGTGTTCCACGGTCGTCGAAGACTACGACTTCGTCGCGCTGCCGCCGCCGCCGCCGCCCGCGTGACGCGCGCGGCGCCGCCGCCCGAAGACCGTGTCCATAGCGGCGCCGACGCCGACGCCTCGGCGAGGTCGCGCCGCCCTGTCTATCTTGCTTGTAAATTTACGTAACCTTATTCCCATGGCGGACGGCGCGCGGGGCCCCCGCGCGGGCCGCAAGTTCGAACGGCACTTGTTCTTGCAGTCCCGAAGGCCTCCGAACAATGTGGATCGAACGTCCGATTAGATTTGTGAGGTAAAAAACCGACCCTTGCACTTATTTGTCGTACTCATTCCGTGCTCTCAATGGCAGCCCTCCTCTCGTCCCCGGGCGTCGCCCCGGCGAAGGAGCCCTGCGCGCCGTCGACGCTGAGCGTCACGGTCGGCGGCCTCGCCTGCGAGGGCTGCGCCAGGGCGGCCCAGAAGGCCGTGCTCGGCGTCGCCGGCGTCGTGCGCTGTGCCGTGTCCCTCGGGGGCGACGTCGACGTCGAGTGGTCCGGGCCCGAGCCCGTGCAGCTCCAGTCCCTCGTCTTCGCCCTCGAGTCCGTCGGGCTCTTCGTGACGCGGCCCTTCGAGGCGCCGGGGAGCCCTCTAGCAGCCCTCCTCGAGGAGCTCCGCGATACTCCGAGCGCGCGGCGCTACCGCTGCGGCTGCGGCTGCGCGGACTGCATCTGCGCGGCGCAGCCCGTCTGGCAGGGCGACGCCGGGCGCGACGTGACGCTCGAGGCGCTCTGCGCGCGGCTGGAGCGGTCCGCGGACCTCGCCGCGCTCGGCGCGTCGGGTCTCGCGGCGACGCTCCGCGCGGGCGGCGACGGCGCGCGGCGCCTCCGGGACGTGCTGGCGCGCACGTCCCTGCCCTGCGGCTGCGGCGCGGCGCCCGGGGCCGATCCGCTGCGCGACTACTCCGACGACGAGGTCGGCGTCTCGGAGTCGAAGCCCGACTCGCCCGCGAAGCCCCCGCCGGCGAACGACGACGACGGCTGGTCCTTCGTCGGCGGCGGCTCCCGGTCGCCGCGGCGGTCGCCGCCCCGGTCGCCGGAGCGCACGGGCCCGCGGTCGCCGCCGCGTCGGCCGCCGCCGCCGCTGCCGCCCCTCGAGGCGCCCGCGATAAGCCCCCCGGCGAGCCCGGAGCCGCGCTCGGACCCGCCGAGCCCGGCGAGCCCTTCGGGCGGCGGGTCCACGCCGGGCCGCCGCCGCCACAAGGCGCCGAAGCGGCAGAAGAGCCCCCGCAAGGCGCCGCCGCCGCGGGCCTTCGACGACGCGGCGCTCACCGACGCCGCGGCCGCGGCGACCTGTGTGGAATTCAACCACTGGTTTGGGTGGTCCTGACCAAACTTCAGAATTCTCTAGCTCGATCAAATCGAAGTCGATTCGGCTGATTTTTGGACGAATCGATTGCTCTCGTCGAGTTCTCGAAGCACAGCCCAAGAGCTTGCGTCGAAACGGTCGCATATGAGCACATTGAAGTCGGGTTGAAGATTTGAATTCCACACAGGCGGCGACGCGGCGCGACGCGCGGTCGCTCCGGGGCGTCGCGTGCGCGTGCCTCGCCGGCGCCTTGGCCTTTTTCGGGCGGGGCCGGCGCGTCTTCGGCGGCGACTGCGGCGCGCTCTTCGCGCTGCCCCCCGACGCCTGGGCGGGCCACGCGCTCGCCGCGTCGGGCGCCGCGCGCGACAAGGCCGGCGCGGCGGCGGCCAGGGCAGGAAAAGAGTGATTCAACGTCGCTTCAACGTGAGTGTTCCGCGCAAGCGCGTTCCAGAGAAAGCATCCACGCTCG